AGGTCGATTGGAACGGCGGCACTGGCGGGCAGAGTTGCGGGAACATGGCCGCGGGCCGCTCGGCGAAGGGCGTGTTCTCCGGGTTACCAATGTAGCGGCGAGAGAAGAGAGACGTGAGACGGCGTCAACGGCGGTCGACGGGGCCGTGCTGATCTCGCCACTTTATTCCACGCCTGAACCGGAGCCGCGGTGGCTGTCCACGTCCGACGCGCCAGGTGCGTGAGCTCGTTCTAATCCTCGCGCAGCTCGAGCTAGCATCAGCTGCGCGAGAGGCGTGGCGCGGTGATTGAGAAAATGATGATGATGATGGTGGCACTACAACGCTATCACTCGGGCTGCCCATGCACACGAAATCGCCCGCACTCGCTTTCTGCAGGCCTTTCCAAGAGAACCAGCGGCGTTTGTGGGATCAACGGCACCGCGATGAGCACTTCTTACCCGGTTCATTGGTGCTGCTGTGGTCCCCGACCCGTCAAATCGGCTTGTCAGAAAAACTTCTTTCCCGCTACACGGGTCCATATCGAGTCCTTCGTGAGGTTACCCCTGTAACATACGAAATTGCCCCTGCTGCCTGATCGCCTTCAACTGCCCACAGACCACCGATATCATACATGTGGCACGCTTGAAGCCTTACCACTCTCCCGCTGACGTTGACATTTAGATGCGCCGAGACGGCACTTCTGCCGCCGGCGATTATGCTACATGCATGTTGACATTTGGGGCGTGATGCGCGCGTGTGCCTGACGAAGAGGACGACGGGTGGTCTCCGCTCGGTGTCTGGTCTACCGGTCACGCCGCTGCTACTGGTTCGAAATATCTTTCATCTACAGCCTCGTTGATACGGCGTCTCTTCTCTTCTGTAACAATACAATCGCTAAAACACATTAAACAGCGCGTAGCGTGTTTCTTAGTGCGTTCTTATTTTTTAGGTCCTTCGCTGTTGACCCTGCGGCATAGCCTAGCGAGCTAGTCGCGTGCGAAGAGCACAACTCTTACGCCTATTTTACCAGCGACCTTTAGCCCATGGGAAATCTCGTGTACGTAGGGAATAACAGCCGTGCTAGAATCAGCCTTGTTGAGTTGGCTGTTGCTTTGTCTCTTATCAGGCACTCTTAGTAACCTTAGAATAGTCTCGGCAATGAAGCTAGCAGGGAATTAGGAAAGCCTGCTTGTTAGAGGCGGTGAACTTGGTGCGAAAAACTGCATTCTGTCTGGTGTGGACAAGAGCAAGTTGGAGCTGCCAAAAGCGATGCTTTGCTTGACTAGCTTGGAATGGGCGGAAGTAAAAGGAAGAAGGCTTTTCTTTGAGCGTGGCTCATACCGCCAACAGACATGGTCAACATAAAAAAGCATTTCGAAGTCTAGAAATCGTAGCTTGTCATCATGATTGAGCTCCGACGTTAAATCTAGTTGCTTCATTTCATGCCGAAATACGTCAAATATCTCATCGGTGGATCTTCGAGGGTCATATTGATCGATGCGGTAAAACACCAAAAAGTTGTCAATGTAGCGGAACACTTTAACTGTGCTTGTCTGATGAAGGTTAGCCATGAGACTTCTGTCATACCGTGGAAGTAAAAGGTCACTAAAAACCGGAGCTAAACACGAGCCAATGCACACTTCCTCCCGCTGAGTGTAGAAGGTGTCCTTGTGAAGTACACTTTAGACACCAATTTAATACAGTGGATGTTAGAGCTGCATGACGGAGTGATGTATGCCATGGCCTACATGACATGCGTGACAAGGTTTTCGTGCTACGGTAAGTTATTTATGTTACTCATAATGTCTTACCGTGCCTTGTAAATTTTAGTGCTCAACAAATTATTCAAACCGACATTAGAGCTCCATTACCGGGTCATTACAGGGTGTTTCATGAAATGTGTCCAATGTTCTTAAAAGTTCAGGAAAATGTGCTATTTGCTCGCGGTATTCATGGGTGCTTTTTCTGTAGCGGAAGTCATTTTAAAAGGGTTAAAGACATAATTTCTAATGATAATTAGGAAAGTTAATTTAGATAACTTTTAAAGTAGCGGAGTTATGCATGTGAAGTCAAATGGGGAATTAAAGGCCTTCATGCAAAGAACTAATTGCAGCTTTGATGTTTCGAAAGAGCGGCTTCTAGTAATTACTGCGAAGTTATAAAGTTCTCCTTAATCTGCGGCGAAACCGAAGCCAAAGCACCGATGAGCGCAACAAGCAGATGACTACAATGAAGTCACTGTTCAAAACAGCGGTTACAGAAATGCAGTTATTCTCCATTCGTTAACGTGTGTGCGCCATGCGTGGTAATATTGAAAGTGCAGCTGACCCACCACATAAGGAAGTCGGTTGATGGTTCATTTAACAATGCTCCCTCATTTTGGACGCCTCAGACGAATATAGCACTTTCCGCTATTTGGCGTTTCGGTTTCGGTTTTGCCACAGAATCAGGGAGAGTTTCTTTACTTCCCTATTATTACTAGAGGCCACTTTTTAGAAATCTCAAAGCTGTAATAGGTCCTTCGCATAAAGGACTTAAATTCTCACATTTTATCAATCTGCCTAACTCTGCAAATAAAAAGCTAAATAACTTTTGTAATTACTGTTCCAAAGAATGTGTTCAACCATCTCAAGATGCCTGCCGCTACAGAAAAAGCATCTGTGAAGACAAGAAGCAAATGGTGGCTTTTTCTGATTTTGAAAGAATATTTGAACAAATTTTTCGAAACACTCTGTAGGTCAATAATCTTGATTGGGCGAGTTGGTGATACATAATTATTTGAAATGAGAGCGCAGTATACGTAGACGCGGACAGGATAGACATGGACAAGCGCTTACTACCAGCTGAATGTTTATTCGGAAATCTGTGAAGTATGTACCGACACATGAAACAATTTCGTAGGCACATACAATATGACATAATGGCAAGCCAGAATAACAAAACAGATAAAATATCTATGTATGCCAGCCCCACCTTAGCAATGCCCGCTATGCCTTGGAGCGATTACTTAACGCCTATGGTATCAGTTACTGTCCAAAAACGCTAGATCCTTATCAGACCTCCTTATTACTGAAGGTTTGCTGACACAAGTCAAGTGTTCACATGCTATGTTTGCTACTTCGATTATAATCTTTGTGCGCTCATCTTTGTGTTCAATAAGTACGACGGTGTTATTCCTATGGAGGCGGAAATGTCGTAGGCCTGTGTGCTCAGATTTGGGTGCACGTTAAAGAACACCAGGTGGTCGAAATTTCCGGAGCCCTCCACCATATGATTATGTCTCTCATAATCATATAATGGTTTTGGGACGTTAAACCTCACATATCAATCGTCAATTATGTACGACAGGTGTTGTCAAACTGAACTTCTTAGTCACATCTAGTGGCACGCTGGGCCAGAACACCATTGTTGCCGCTGCGAACATTGCAAGCATGCTCCCGCAATCTGTCTTCAAGGCATCTTGCAGTTCGTCCAATATAGCAGGCACCGCACGAAATTGGGATCCTGTAGATATCGTTGCAAATGCAATTGACAAAACGGGTTCTGTGCTTTGTTTTGCACAGCTGTTTTGTGTGTCTAGCGGCACATGTCAGCCTAGCCAGCTGAGAAAGTTTTTGTGGCGTAATTGAATTTTTATTTTGTGATTCGGTCTTATCGTATGTTCCTACGAAATTGTTTCATGTGTCAGTATATATTTTACAGCTTTCCGAATGAACAATCATTTGGTAGTAAGCGCTTGTCTCTGTCTATCCTGTCCTCGTCTATGTAGTGCGCTCTCATTTAAAACTACTCGGTATGTCATGGCGTACATGACATGAATGACGTCTTTTCACTGTTATGATGAGTAACTTTTTCATTTTGCGCTATTGAAGAGGCCGTTTCAAACAATATGGCTGTATCATGTGGATCATGGCGCACATGACCTGATTCTTGTGTTACGACCAGTGATTCATGTTAGCCATATGTTTCTATTATACCGTGTCAGTTTTGGTACACATCAAGCTGATGAAGGGGCCGTACGTAGGAGCTCCATGACTGGGTCATGTATGTCAAAGCATATGTGGCATCAATGATGACGTTTCGTGTTATGATCTGGCATATGCATATTCTACTCATGGTTTTATCACACCATGTCAATTTTGGTGTACATGAAGTTTACCAAACTGGCCGTTGTAGCTCACTGACTCGTATGTCATTGCGCAAATAAAGGAATGTCATGATTTTCTTGTAGTGAGAAGCCATTCATGTTTTTCACATGCTCTTGTCATGCCATGTAAATTGTCATACTCGTCAACCTAATCAATCGGCCGCGAGAGCATGAGGACCTGCACAGCCAGTTGGATAAACAGGTGGATAGCTATGATCTAAATGCCTTTTTTTCGTTGTCAAATGCTTCATGCGTGATAGTTAGTGCGTAATATATTTATTACCAACATTACATGTGCAAGGCAGAGCGCCAAAAGGGATTGACAGAGCCAAATCACCGCGCATTTCACTGCGAACGATCCCTCTCTGCATGCATGAAATAAGCCAGTCAATGCGAATGTTTGAAGCAATATGGCGTCCACAAAAACAGCGTCTCCGTCGTGTTTCGGAGGAGCACATCGAGGCACCCCAATGTCCCAAATTTCAGGGCATGCTTAATTTTTCGGTGTAAAAGAAATTAGGCATGCCCAAGGATTATGACACGGACTGCATGTCCTTCGGTAGATGACGGCAGAGTTAAACGGAGTTGGTGACTCCCCGTGTGACAGAAGGCGTAGCACATGCTTTTGATGTCTCAGTAAAGCGTTGGTTTGATTTCCAAGGGGACGGATGCAGAAGTGCCCTTTAAAAAGACACTTTTAAAATGTTTGTATCGGCTTTTGGAAACGCATTCGAGAGCCTGCGTCCATACCGTGCCCTTCAAGAGTTCTGTTTTCGCCATGCACTCTGTTCTCGTTTTTGTCACTTAATCATTTTGTGTGAGGTATCTTGTGTGTTGGCCGCTGCGGTTACAACTGTCTCGTCTTTCTCGCAGGGCTCGGCAGAGCAGCAACACTCTTCTTCGTCTTCTAGCCCCGCACATGTAAGTCTGATCATCTATTACCATCTTCGAAATGAACTGTAGAGCCATATTCACTTTGAGAGACTTTCCTATGCGGTTACGTGGCTGACACTTGGCGTTATTTTCCGCTGTTAAAAGTGAAATGGCTTGTTCACACTAACGCACGTTGGGCGTCCAAATTTTCTTTGTCTCACAATGCATTGTTACCACAGATGACGCCTCTTCGGGCGAGGACGATAGGTCTGGTGCGGGCTCTATTGCCCCGGCGTGGCATTTATTATGTTTAGGGGAGTTTTGTGGCGCGAGGGTGGTGGGTGGCCAAAAAGCACCATGTCTTTGATGTTGTGTTAGCTATGACCAATGATTTAGACCACAGGGTGTATTATGGCTGTATACCCTATTGGAAAACGTCCACCATAGGAATGGTGGATTATGGTGCTGGAAATACTGATGGCACATGGTGTGTGGTGGCTCATGATGGATGCTGGAGTGCCGGCAATGCTGGAGCGCGAAACGGCGTCAGAATGACCGTGACGAGCTGCCAAAATAAAAACGTAAATAAAAATAATTCTATAGAAAGCGATGCAAAAACCTCCTGTAAAAACTCGACCACAAGGATACGAACGTGCAACCTTCGGATTCCTAACTGAACACACTATCACCGCGTCATGCTGACTTTTCTTCTCGTTGTAACCAAGTTCTGAACGTTTGAAGGTTTTCAAGGTTGATTGAAATATCATCATCAAATTCAAAACAACATGGTTCGTAAGTGCTACAGAAGGAGGTCCCAAGGTATACACCGTCAGGGGGACTTCCTATCAAGAATGTATTGATTAAATACAGTGCAGACAAGTGGCGACGAGAAGCATAATATGAAACATGAATTTCTCAACAAAAACAGAAAAGCAAGAGTGCAAATAATTTCGGAGTTGCAAGGCATAGCACATTAACAAAACAAATACTTTAAATAACATTCATACTGCAAAAAGTTAGATCAATCAAAGAAAATGAAAAAAAATGCAAGGAAAAAACGCTAAAGAATGTTAACATGAAAGATGAAAGAAAATGCTTTATGACAAAATTTATTGTTCGAAAGAATGCGAGTTCCAGTAGCCAATACTTAAAATAGCGCTGTCTGTTTGCCATAGTTCGAGTGTACTGCCGGCAACAGTTAGCTAAGGTCAGAGGATAATCTAGTCAAACTTGTATTTGTGAGGAAATGGGGTGGGATGTTTTCTAGTTCAATGTCAAGATGACGTGCACGAAAATTGAGCATACCCAGTTTCTATGAAATGGAATGATCGATGGGGAGAATGCCGAGATTGCGGTACATGGGCGTGGCAGACTCCCTAGAGTGACTGAAGGTGATACTTTTTATTGATTTATTTTGTAAGTGAGCAGTCATGGAGAGAGGAGTCCTGTGAGTGTTTTCCTAAAACCAACAGCAATATGTTAAATGACTATGAATGAAGGTGAAGTGTAATGCATGAAGAATGTGCAATGGAAAGTAGGGGCGAGTTTTAATAAGAACACCAATGCCATAATAAATTTTGGACGAAATTGCTGAACTGTGTTTATTAAACTTTAGGTGAGAGTCAATTGTGAAACCAACGGATAGTGTTTCAGTCAGAATGAAGTTTTAAAATAATGTTTTGGAATTGGGAGAGATATGTATTTTTCACACCCTTTCAACATATCATGGCCTTGAATATCCCAGTATAATTAGTAGTACAGCGGACGAGGGAACAGCATAGATAGTAAATTTTTGTATAGTGTCTTGGGTGCAACTGTATACAAATATTGCATTGAAAAGGAGGTTTTAAGAAAATGAACTGCGAAGTGAACTTCCTCCATAAATCTCCACAAACATGGGCGCGTGGAGAAGTTTGAAAGAACAACAATGTCATTGAAGGAATTGATAAGTGTAACTTGCAAGAACGTACGAATGATGGGACGGGAACTATCACGGAAAAAAAGAATTGCGAAACTGCTTGCCATAGATAAAGATGCTTTGAACCCAAACCTCCATCACGAACTCTCCTGATAATGTTGTCACGACGCATGGGCTCAAAAGTCGAAGAGCAAACGAAAGTTGCAAAAATACGATGGAGGCATTACACATAGAACCTGGTAAAATGAATAAGTTGCAATGCACAGTAAATCTTTGTTGCTAAAATACGTTTTTACCAACAAAAAAAAGACGTTATGGGACAAATGCCCGTGCCTGCTGGTCAAGCATAGGGACGCGCTTCTTCCAATAGTGTAAACTAAATCGATACGCATCTAGTGGCACTCCAAGATACTTCAGTGGAATGCTAGTCCAATTAATCCCTGCAAAATGGCTTGGCGCACTGTCCCGTGAGTCAAACCATAATCCTAAGCTTATTGAGGAGTTTAAATGAGCTTATGAAACAAGACGAAATTTCGCAATTGTAGTTATCACATCTTGAACGCCTGGTTTATCAATACAAAAGATTGCTACATCATCTGAATAATCCAATACTTTAACTTCATTGCCTAGTACATTGCATCCCTGTGTATGATTCGACTGTATTATACTCAAACAAAATGGTTAGAGATAAAGGGCGAACAGAAGTGGCGACATTGGGCATCCTTGCTTTACAGAAGAGCCAGTAAAAACAGGCTTAGAGAAGTGACCATTAAAGGGCCCCTAAACCACCCAGCGGTCGAAATTTAGTTGAGGTGAGGAACTTGTGCTCGAGTTTACAACGGACACTTAGCTGTGAGAATTTTTTGAAACGGTGCCATAGTAGCAGAGATACACTCGTTTGATGATCGAAATGCAACGATCGCTTCTTTCCTACGCTACCCTATTCCAAAAACGCTTGGCTCCTCCTCGCTGAGTCAGCTGAGTGCCCCTCCTCATCTCGCGTGACATACGGCACCGCTGACACACTGTTCGAGACAGCGTCTACTTCCGCTTGCCGCAATCTGCCACTCCGGTGACCCAGCTCGCCATCAACTGTGTTGTGTGTGTCATCGTTGTGCACTGGTCGTTGACTAACCGCTGTTGCTGTCGTGCCGGCCTGTGCCCCTACGAATCATGCCGGTATGGACCCTGTGTTCTGTTACTGGTTGCAGATGTCGATTCGCAAGCGGCAACACGACCAAGAACAGCAAGGTGCGCGCGAATAGCTGCTTGCAGAGCGACCGAAAGTCGTTGGGTGTCGTTCGGCCAATCGCAAGCATCGATAGTGGTAACGTCATCGAGTTTCACTGGTGATGTCACAGATGTCAGTGGTGGGAATGGTGGAGACCGGAAAGGAGAAGCTATTGCTATTTTGTTTTTTTCTTTAATTGTGGCGTGCCCGCTACCTGTAGCGCTGCGGCGTGTGGCATCGTTGATTGCGACGGCATTCTGCACGCGATGCAGTCATCTACTTGAAATGTTTGGGAAAATATCGGAGGGTGTTTAGGAGCTCTTTAACAATTAAACGAGTCGAAAAATGAATATAGCAAAGCCCAACAGCTTTTGGCACTACGGAGCCCATTTTACATGTTCTAGAATAGAAAACAGAAATGAATGGTTCACGCGAATCAATAGCTTTTGCGAGATCTACCTGTAGCATCGCAAGATGTTTCGAAACTGTAGCAGTGCTAAAGAAGTGTACGCACAATGTGTACGTTGACCTGTATGAAGCGCCCTCTAATTTTGCATGTCTGATGAAAACCAATTAGAATCGACATCGCATATTGTAGCCAGTCTCGTAACACCTTGGCAAAAATTCTATAATCAACATTGGCTTGTAATATTGGTCTGTAGTTCTCAACAAAACGCAGTTTTTTTCTTTTCAGAGTTTTTCGGAATGAAGACAGTATGATTTCACCGAAAGACCGTTGGAGCATGTCCATGTTGTAACTTGTTTTGAAAATATCCATCAAAATGAGAGAGAGTGAGTTTTTGAAAGTTTTATAGTTTTTTTTAATATATTTCAGCTGAAATGCCATCAGGGTCCCGGTGAAGGTAATTTGTATATTGCCTGCAGAATATCTTTTCTTGTAATGGGACCGTTCACAACAGCACAACCATCGTTGTTCAAGGGTTTTAAAAGAGAGACAAGACTAGCTTTGAGGTTGATATTGGAATCATCGGGAAGGACACACAAACTAAGCTTCATATTACCTTTCGAACTGCAAATTATATCGGGTGTATTTGTTGCAAGAGCTCCGTTAGAATATAGATCAGCCTTACAGAAACATGCCTTAGAAATTGCATGTTTTCTTTCATCAAGCAAAGCTTGACGTGTAGGTTTCTCAAAACTCGGAGTCCGTCTGTTTGGTGATTGAACCCGTGTTCTTTATAGCGGACAGTCTCATAATGCTGTATTTCACACTTAATGCTTTCAATGTTATTGATGTGTCTACCCGAATTTTTACATTCCATTTCATACAGGTTACACAAGCTTTTAAAAGGGGTCTTTTCCTTATTCTTTCTGTACTAACACTTAGCAAAACCAATCACGATGGCTATTGTGCGAACCTCCTGTTTAAATTGTTAACCCTATGGAAAAGGAGTCTTTCATTGCAATTGTAACTCGTTTAATGAATTTCTGATCGTTTAGGAGCTCGGAGTTTATCTTTCAAAGGGCTCATTATGGCCGTAATTGACTTCGGTGCTCCGCAACGATTCGCCCAATAACGATACTGCCACACGTATGTGCCAGTGCAACTGGCACATACGCGCCAAAAAAAAGCGGCTACTTAAAAAGCGGCTACTGGCAAATTTAAGTGGATGAGAGAGATCATGAGAAGACCGCCTTTGTTACGCTCGATGGACTTTATGAATTTCAGGTTCTTCCTTTCGGTTTGTGTTCGGCGCCAGCAACATTCCAGCATCTCATGGACACGGTTCTGTCGGGACTTAAGTGGCAAACCTGCTTGGTGTACCTCGACGACGTGATTATCTTTTCGGGGACTTTCGAGGAACACTTACGAAGGCTCGAAGCAGTTTTTGAAGCAATACGCTCTGCCGGTCTCACTCTAAAACCAGAAAAGTGCCA